ACAAAAGGCAGTGATGCTTAGGAGAAGCACAACGTCGTGTCGAAACTAGCCTTGCTACAGTACACTCGCACACCGGAAAAAAGTGTACAGATTTTTTCGAAGCACAGACAAGATTCCATGCAAAGCGTTGAATCAGAATATCTAGACGAGACTCTATGCCTTACCTGAGCCGAAATTAGTGATGAAGAAATAACGTCAGTGGTCTTGTTCTCATTTTTATACTTGTCCATAACCGGTCGCTGATAGTCAAGCTCACCGGATTTGATCAACTCCTTGACAAAACTGCAACACTGCGCTTTTAGACAATGACAACACCCTTAACATACCAAAGAGCACTTCAAGTAACTCACCAGTCGTGCACAAACAACTTGAAGCGGGAAAGTTCAATAAATAAAGTGACCAATGATGCGAATTCTTGATGGTAATATTTTGATCCAACTGTAGGTGCTTCCGTATAGAAATAATTAAGGATAATGTCTTGCGTGTGGAATGGACCGAACATATAGGACTGCTGATTGAGTACTTGGTTGTAGATGACCTAAAACAGGAAATGTCAGAAAAAAGGAAGACTACAAAATGCAGAGTCTTCACAAGAACTGCGACCGAACTTCAAGAGTCATGCTGGTACTGTAATATCCTGGATTTTGCCAAAACGGGTGGTGTATTTCAAGTTGATTAGCGCCAGGGCATAGCGAGGTTGATACAGAAGTTGAAAAGGACCAGACGCGACGCGACCCTCCTCGCGTCCAGAGACGAAGCGGAGCGTATTCTTGTCTACTTCGTTCTCTCAAGAGTCATACTAGAGTCAGAATGAAAAAAATCGCCTTTATGAGGTAACGCAGAGAAGTTCATAGAGACGCGAAGCCTCCTCCCCCCTCTACTCAAATACAGTAGCGCTAATTGAAGTGATCGTGATCGCGTGCTCATTTTTCACATATAGCACGCGCATCCTGGTCGTGCCCTGAAAAAGGAAGGGTGTGGCTGCACAGTCCATTTAACGTGACCACTAGGGCATTTGGTGGGACACCGCCGTTTCGAGATAACTATCATTATGTCTCCCTCCAGCGCGAGACAGAATGACAGTTGCCCCGAATGGGAAATCCCACTAAAAACGTGTCTCTTGCCATGTTCAACGAAGTATATAGCAACGCCTTCATCACCTACGATCTAAGTGGGCTGATGCTTCTGGGGTTAGTTAATATAAAACATATAAGACAAACAAACCTTAGTCACAATCACTGCTCTGTGACTTCCTTCACGTTCGGCCGTAACAGCCCAGTGCAGCATGAGCTTTATTCTGAAAAAAAATACTTGAATAAAATTTGGAAGAAGAAACAAAGAACTTGGAAACTAAAAGCAAAGTGCAACCTTATCAGGACATCTTCAGCCCAATTTTCAGACTGGAAATTGAATATCCTTGTTGTGACCGCTGGCAGTATGTTTGGTTCGAAGACATCCGTTGAATCAAGGATACCGATCACATCAAGGCACCCATTCACCAGTTTTGCTGCAAGGAAGCTCGTAGTAGCGCTATCTATGATAAATAGGACAAAGAAAGTAAGTAGGGCATAATTAGTAAGAATGTAAAATAAATAACTAGATGCCAAATACGTACCAAAAGCGAACTGCTCCTTCTGATTAAATGACCATTTATCCTGCACAGCTTGACTTCGACGCACTATTTCCGTCGTCCGAAGCTTCAGAAGCTCCGCAAATCGTTCAGAGCCTGAAGGAAAGAAAATTGCATGAAAAATCACGCGTACTATTAGGTTGTTCGAAAAGTCACTTTGTTTGAACTATTCTAGAAAAAGACCAAAAATCATTTTGAATGTTTTTATCTCTGATTAGTGGAGACTGTCTCCTGGGGTTTCTGAAAATGGGTATATCATGGCTCCGTGGAAGTTTTCAAAGCTTAAAAATACCTCAGAGATCGAGGTACTTCTCGACCTATCCCATATTATGAGTTCCTGTAGGGCAACTCCGCCATAGTCGAGGAAGCTAACACTTACGTTGTCTTGAGGAAGGATATCGCTTGCCATAGCAGAGAGTTCCTTTTGCATCAGCGCTTCCAGGCTGGACTTATTCAACTCGGAAGTAGGCAATGTATAGGTCGGCCACCAGCACAGAATGACGGCCCTTTACTCAAGCTTCTTGAGGCGCAGCCGAACGTAACCACCAGTAAGTTGGCAACCTCTCTAGGCTCCACCTAACTGACAACTGCCATGCTTCTCCGCAGTCTCGGTTATCGGAAAAATTTTTTATGAAGGATGCCTCATGAGTTGAACCCCTCTGACAAGTCATACCGAATGACCGTGACTGAGTTTTTTTTTCCTTGTACACACTGGAGGAACATTTGTAAGGTCTTGTGGTTGGTGGAG